ATATAATTGTATATTCTCCCTTTTTTTTGTGTTTTTTCTTCCCGCCTTCTTCTTAAACATGCATCTTTTCTTCTGCCACCTGGGGCGAGGTCCCACTACCGGTAGCAAAGAGGATTGGTGGGATTTAAGCGCCCGAATCTGGACGTCTTTGATGCAAAGATGCACAAAAGCAGATCACCCGCGATTCTCTGCACCTCTCCCCAAACCCGTCCAGATTCAAGCGTTACAACCAAATTGAATCCTCTTTGGTGGCAAAGGTGGATGGTGAGGTTTCAAACCCTCAGAGGCTGCGTGCGTGGGTTAGCCTCCTCAGGCTGACCGGACGGCATCCGGTCCGAATCTGGACGGGTTTGGGGAGAGGTGCAGAGTCCAGTCAAGGAATGTCCGCGGCTAGAGTATTTATCTGGACTTGACACCTTGACTTGTTGACTGGTCAATTTTCTGAGAAGAATAGCTATCTTTTTTTTTCTTTTTTTTTTTTTGTGACTATGTGCTAAAGAGCGAATTTAATTTTAATTAAGTGTTTGTTTTTTTTTTAAATAAAAAATAAAAAAAAAGAGCGACTTTTGCATGGAAACACACTTTTGCCCCTTGGGGTTTAAGGCCCTTTTGATCCCCTTTTTTTTTTTTTTTTTTTTGCTGTTGGTTTTATTTGGTGTCCACTCTATTATGGACTCGTGACCAGTCTGGTAGGCTTAAAAGGTGTGGGGCGTTTGTTTGTTATAATACTGCCCCTTAAAAAACAAACCTGCCCTGAAAATTTAGGGCTCTGTTACCCGCTTCTCGTCCTAACTTCACTTGCCCCAACTATGCTTTCGTGATCTAGCATGAACTATGTTCTCCTACTCTCGTGGCTGGGTTAATTGTGGGTTAATTACTTTTATTATAAGTTGTATTTTTGTTGTTAATAAGTAAAGACTGTAAAGTAATACAGTAAGAAACAAGTTACCATTCCATTTGATTTTTGCATTCCGCATAAACGTTGAACCCCCAGCAGGGTCCTCAACATCCACACCCAGAGAAAAATACTGGCATTTCCTTCCAAAAAAAAAAAAAAAAAAAAGGTGGAGGAGGAGAAGGAGGAGGAAGGGAAGGAGAGATTTAAGGGGAAAAAAAACTGGCTTTGTTTTTTTTTTTTCTCGATCCGTTTTTCAAATTATACCTAACATTGCAGGCAGGATTACCCAGCCAGTTTCGGTCAACCCCCGGTCAGCATCACCCAGATTGCTTTTTTTTTTTTTTTTTTTTTTTGGGGGGGGGGGGGGGGGGGCCCCCCCCCCCCCCCCCCCCCCCCCCCCCCCCCCAAACCAGATTTCTTTGTGGTACTGGTGGGTTTCAAATAAATAGAAACAAAAACAGAGTGAAGGTAGCGGGAAATGAGGGGCCGGACTTGGCCTTCAGAGCTAAAATAAATAAATAAATAAACACTCTTCCTGCCAGAATTGGCCTTGAAATTTTGGCGGGAAATCAGGGGCCGGCCTTGAGCTCGGCAGGAAGAGTGTACGGGTTTTTTTTTTTTTTCCCTGTAAAATGCTCCACTTTTTTGGCATGGAATTTTTCTACTTGTTAGTATTAAACTGATCAGAAAAGATACCACACTTGGTATCTTACTTAGCCGAAAAAAGGCCTCGAAAGGTATGTATCCATTTGATGTCACGCCCATCAATGGGAGACCACCTTTTTATTTTTTTATTTTTATTTTGTATTTTTTTTTTGGGGGGGGGCACGCCAGGCCTTATTCCTGGCCGAGGGACGATTCTTGGCTGGTTGTAATATGCAAAGCTAAGCCGGGTGAAAGCTATCCATTTTACTTTTTTTTATTTTTATTTTTTTACACAAGTAGTCAAGCTATCCATTTGTAAGATGGGGTACTCGCAATTCGAGTAATGAAAAATTAAAAAAAAGTAATAAAATATTATTAAAATAATAATAAATAATACTTTCCGTTGAATCTGTTTTTCGAAAAAAACGAAAAAGAAAAGAAAGAGAGAGAAAAAAAAAGAGAGGGAAGAAGTAGAGGGCAAAAAAGACGATCGGGTTAAGTTTGGACCCCCCCCTCTTCACTGATATAAAACGAACCACATAGACACACACACAACCACAAAAAAAAAAAAAAAAAAAAAAAAAATCCCACCTACCTGGTGAGACCTTTATTTGCCCTTTCGATCCAAAGCCTTTGCCAGTTCCTCCTCCTCCTCCTCCTCCTCCTCGTTTACTCCTTTCCGACGACTTTTTCCCCGCGGCGGCGGCGGCGGCGGCGGCGGCGGCGGCGGCGGCGGCGGCGCGAACTAGTAGCCGCGATCGGCCCGGAGATCGCATCTGACGGCCATCATGGTGAAGGTAACCGTCGGGATCCCTATGGAAGGGTCGGCGCCGTGAGAAACGAGGATAGGTGAACGACAAGCAGCTGGAGGCGGCCGCGCACTTCACCAAAGAGCTAATGCACGTGGACCGTCGGGATCCCTTTCTAGTGGGACAAAGCACAGCGCAGGGATCGCATCCTATCGGTGACCGACGACAGTCAGTCAGCGAACACAACAACACACCTTCCTCATCTCTTCTCAGATGGACCGTCGGGATCCCTCTCCAATGCGACGAAGCACAGAGCCGCGAGCCATGCCTCGCTCTCACGTTCCCGGAACACGTCGGGATCCCTCTCCAGTGGGAAGAAGAAGAAGAAGAAGAAGAAGAAGAAGAAGAAGAATTCAGAGAAGAAGCACGTCGCGACAAAACGTACTGCTCAGGAGGAGAAGGAGAAGGAGAAGCCCATTTCAACGCCGAGCCCATTTTGCGCATAACGAGTGGGCGAGCATGATGATGATGAGCTGTCGCTGACGTGGACGACGAGATTGACACGTGGCTCGCGACTACTCGCGCTGGCTGATTGATCGCTGTTGACGCCGCCATTATTACTACCATAAAATGGTAAAATGAGGATGGGCTGTCCCCCACGTGGACGAGATTGACACGTAGACGAGATTGACACGTGGCTGCACAGCCAACAGCGGCGACGAATTCCACAAGCCAACCCGCGGCTCGTCAAAACCAAGGCAAAATGGGGGGGCGCTTGGTTACTCAGGCCGCGACTCTTTTCCCTGGATGTACCTGACCGTAGACGCGGGTGGATTACGATAAAAAAAGTGTCAGTCAGTGGGAAAATACGCCGCAAGCCTTGCCGCGCCGCCAACGCCGCCCTCCCTACGCCATCGCTTTTTTATCGATCGACGTAGTACCCGTACGAAAGGAAGGAAGGAAGGAAGGACACTCGCACTGCCGGGACTCTTTCTTTCTTTCTTTCTTTTTCTTTTTTTTCTTCAATTTCTTTCTGACTGTCTCCGACCGTGATTGCGGGGCAAAAAAAGTGCAAAAAAAGTGCAAGTGCGAGCTGTGTGAAACCAGATAACCGCCGCAAGACATCAACAGTGGAATGGGCATCCACATCGGCCATGCCCAGGCCGCGCCGAGCCAAGATCGCCCTCCTCACTGGCTATGGCAGCCAGAAAACCTTGGTTGCTCTCATCAGTAGCTATGGGCTTCGCTCCACTACACAACAGTGTACATCCATTTGGACGCTTTTGGGACCAGGTGCATTCGGCCGATTCCTACGTTGTGAATGAATGCATGTGGTCAAGAAAGCGTCCAAATGCATGTACAGTGTTGTGTAGTGGAGCGAGCCCCCTCGCAGGCCTTCTCCTCGGCCCTCTCGCTGTCGCCGGTCCGCGACAACGGTAGGTGGACTACACTACTGCAATCCAGCCAACGCGCCCTCATTTTTCTTTTTCCCTCATTCGCGACGGTGGAAGCGGCCTACGTAGTTCAGTCGGTATCCACAACGAATTAAAAATCGAGCTGAAGGTCTTGGGCTCAATACCCATGCCTCATGGAGAGGCAAGAACCGAACAACCAGCGGTAGCCTGCAGAGGTTGGACGGCGCCCAGGGGGTTCTTCTTCAGGCAAAAGTGTGGAGGGAAATGGAGGGAAAAGGGAAATGGGGGGCGTTTGGGAAGGACGGAGGGTCAGCCGGTGGGGTCTCCAAAATGCGCTCCAAGACCCCAGGCCCTCTGGGCTGCGCCTCCGCGCCATGCACGTGCACAGTACCTTCCTAGGCAAGCTTGACGGCGTTGACGCGACATTCAGCAGACACTGCTGATGTTCGTAGGGAGGAGGGGAGGCACTCCTACTGACCCGTTGAAGAGTTCTCGGTCCTGATCAGCTGACCCCTGGCTGGTATCGCCCACCTGCAGGTCGGGTGCAGCCCCCACATCTGATGCTACAGACTAACCCTGGTATTACCAACCTCCAGGTTGAGTGCAGCCCCCACATGTTCCCTCGCTGAGAGCTTGAACCCGAGCTGGCCCCTACAGGACTTCCCATAACACTATAAGACCTGGAAACTAATTATTTGCATGCCGAGGACTGAGCTGGGCCCAGGTTATTCGGGATCACACACTCTCTGATCTCAGACTGGATAATGCAAGGGTTGCGGCTCCAGCACGAAGGGGCACCGGAGGAATTCTGGAAAGACGCTCACACGCAACTCACTGCTGTTCTGGAGGCGAGCCCCTCGATCCGAGACCTAAACAAGGGCCCCCCTGCACAGGTCACATGGCACAAGGTGTTCCATCGACTCTACAATCTATCGGCGGGCCATTTCCAAATACCGAAGCCGGAAAATCCGACTGTTCCCTCCCTGGAAACCCGCAGCACAGAACTTGCAGGTGAAAAGATGGAACACCTAGGGGCGGGGGGGCAGGGGGAACCCAAAAAGCTGGAACACAGACRACAAGACCACACAGAACCAGGAGGGAAAGACCACTTCAGAGAAGCTTTTGGCCCGCAACCAATGGAGGTGGACGATCCCCCGAACCCGCTTCCCCCCCCCCCSGACATAATAATGCAAGACAAGGACCCGGGAGACAACACGGCGGCACCCCGAGACGACATGCCAATTGAACAGAAACTGCAAAGGATTGCAGATTGGCTTCTAGAGGGCCTGCGAGACCAATATACAGGGGCCGATTCTGATTTTTGGGATCAGGCATACATTCAGCTGTTTAGCATGCTAGACAGCAGTCCAACCCTGAAATCAACACTGACAGTGCCCCCCCCCTCCCACATTACATGGCTAGAGCTCTTCCAGCGTATTAGACACATCACCTATCAACAGTTCTCCCCCCCGCTGGGAAAGGCAGGGCAGAACTCTTACGACTCCGGACAAAGGGAAGGAAGGAAGGGGGGGGACCGGGAAGGGGAGGAAGGAAGCCCACAGGAATCTAGCCAGCTCATGCAGGTCTCACCAGGGGGAGCCGAAGGGTTAAAAGAGGTCCCTTGCGAAGACCCGCCCCGCCGACTGAAACTGAGAAATCTAGTGGAAAAGGGTCAGTACGAGAAATCCCTTTCACAGAAGGAGGGGGTAATTGCAATCCCATTGAGACAAGCAGGGGATAGAATGGAAGTGGGACTATCTCCAACTGACGGGGGACTCACCCTGCCCGGCTGAAATTTTTATAACATTTGGTCTATTCCTTCCCTGAGGGAAGGGGACTTCACAAAAAAAATGCTCCCCTTCATCCGCAAACACTACCCACACGGAGTAGTCTCCACCCTTCCACAGGTTGAGGGTCTGATGCGGGTTGCCAACACAGATCTATACATCCTTTTCGAAGAAGGAAAAGACTCAGGCCTTAAATGGTACAATCATAACGATCTGATGGACCTGAGACTGCATGACCTCCGGGCCAACCACTTCTGGTCGAAGGAGGATCTGCACACTGCCCTCTCTAGGATTCTCATAAATGGTCTGCTATGCACGATTAACTGGTCTGTCAAACTGTGGCTTAGTATTTGAGTAAAATACATAGACCGCGAGGAATTTCTGCCACCAATAACGAACGACAATCATGGACATCCTATATTGTAAGAATCCGAAGTGGAGAAGCTGCCTCCGAAGTGCAGACCTAGATATAAGATCCCTAAACGTCAATGGACTCGCTTCCTATAATCCAGACAAAAAACAAGCGATATGGGACCAGTTAAGAGGGGTAGGGGGGAGAAGATGGCCAGACGTGATATGCGTCCAAGAGACTCACCTGATGGACAAACCGGAGTACCTCAGAGCACACACTACAGTATGGCCATATCAATCTTTCGCGGTCCATGCCCCGACAACGGCATCAGCCAGAGTGGCGGTCTGGATCCCGCCCGAATCCAAATTTGAGATGATAAACTGGACAGCGGACCAGGCGCAGGGGCGATGAGTCTTGGTACTCGGCATGTTAGAGTTAGAGTTAATATGCATTTTCTGCATATACACACCTAACTCATCAACAGAGAGAAAAGCGTTCTTTGAAAATCTCTCCCCCACTGCCCCCCCCGGGGTACCTCTCATCATGGCAGGAGACTTCAACGCAGCACTGGAACGGGGATTAGATAGATGAAGCCTACACTCATCCCACCTATGATACGTAGAGGAAGATGAGCAAACCATCGCCAACTTTTGCAGGGGTCTTGACCTGACAGACACATACCGTCTTCTACACCCAACCAATCGCGCCTTTACATGCATTCGCACCAATGACCCGGAACGACACTCAAAATCCCGAATAGATTTGATACTGATCTCCCAGGCTATACAAAATGCTTTACAGGTAGCCACCATACTCCCACAAAGCCCACACCCGGGACTAGACCACTGCACCTCCGGAGCCATCTTCACGTTCCGCAAAAGACCGGACCAGGGGTCGGGATACTACAAACTGAACACGTCTTTACTCAAGGATACGACCTTCCAGTCCTATATACAAGATGTTTGGGCCTATTGGCAAAGTCTCAAAGACAACTTTAATTCCGATATCCAATGGTTTACAAACGACATGTTTTTCCTAGCCAAGAAGTGCAATGACTACTCCAAATTGATCGCGGCCCGACGTTATCAGCAAGAACAAAAAATCCATAGTAGTCACCTTCATGACCTGGTTAATCAGGACAATTCTACTGATCACAACACTGAGATCCAACGTTTGAAAGACCAGCTGCTTCATTATGCTCAGCACAGATGGCAGGGGATCAGAATCCGAGGAAAACTATCTAAATGGACCACAGAAGGTACCATGGACTCACAATTTTTTAGCCTAGCCTCAATCAGAGCCCACCGCACTACCATAGAGGCCTTCCTGGTCCCGACGACGGGGGAGGTGGCCACCACCACGACACAATGTGCAAAAATAGCCCGGGACTTCTATAAAGACCTTTTCTCCACACACATCCTTTCCCAGGCGGAACATCGGCTTAACGATATTGATGATTTTCTGCAGCCTATGAACCATCGCCTCACACCAACTCAAAGGACAAAATTGGACCTTCCCCTAAGCAAGGATAAGGTATGGACTGCTCTTTTCCAGATGGAGGAGGAAAGGACTCCTGGGATTGATGGCTTCCCGAAGGAATTCTGGGAAACCATGTGTCTGCGATTTAACAACGACCTCATGCAGTTCTACAGAACAGTCTGGGAGACGGGGGAGATGGGAGAGATGTTAGGACAAGGGGTGTTATCTTTACTCCACACAACAGAAAAATTTCCCAGAATTAAATAATCATTATAGAGTAAAATTACATTATAAATTCCAAATTTTCATTCCATCTTTAAAAATGTAATTCCAATTTTAAAATTTTTCGTCTTACTTGAAAACTTTCCTTCCAGTAATGGGGTATCCCTTCTTATTTGAACTGCATGCTAGAGATGGAATGAAAGTCTGGATGAGTTCATGAAATATTTTAATTGGACTCCTATTCTAAGTAAGGATTTTGAGTCATAAATAGGTTAATCCAATCTAAATTAGATGATATTTGTTGTAATAGAATGAAAGTCTAGTTAAAACATTCCATAAACTCGTCCAGACTTTCATTCCATCTTGAACAAATAGATGTAGTACGAAGGGAAAGCTCATATTTAGACGAGAACTTATCAAATTAAATTTGAAATTTTAGAATTGGACAAACATTGAAATGATAATTTATAAATATGAAGGATTTTTTTTTATGGAATATTTTTTTCAACTTTCATTTCTCATGGGAATTTTTCTGTTGCAAGAAAGGTGACAAAATGAACATCCGGAACTATAGACCCATCACCCTCCTGACTGTGGTCTATAAGATGCTTTCTAAGGCTCTGGTTAACCGTATGATTGAGGTGCTAGAGGACCTCATCCACCCGGCACAGACAAACTTTATGCAAAACAAGAACATTCAGGAGAACATCCTGCTAGTGAACGAAATGATCAAACTACCCGTCAGTCCAAAAGCAACGCATCTTTCATTTTTATCGATTTCGAAAAAGCATACGACCACGTCGATTGGGTTTTCCTCGACAGATGCCTACACAAGATGAACTTTGATCAGGATTTTCGAAGGTGGGTCCAGGTCCTGCACCAGAATGCGACGATCCGAGTGTAAGTAAATGGCTTGCTGGTTCCAGAAATCACACTTCAACGCTCGGTCAGGCAGGGAGACCCAATCGCTCCTTTCCTCTTCATCATAATAATGGAAGCCCTGTCCGCCAATCTCCGACACAACAAAAATCTCGAAAGAATCAAGATCACAGGTATTCCAGAGGCCGCCATCCCGATCTGTTCCCTGTTTGCGGACGACTTGACAATCATGGCGGAAGCATCAACCTCTAACATGGAGGAAATCCATAGGCTTATGGAGCGCTTC